TGGTTAGATATTTTAAGCGACACTAAAGAGGTTAAACTTTATAACAAATAAACTTTGATTTTCCGTAGGGGTTAACCCACAAATTTCAAACATTTTTTAGAAAATATGGAATTTTTTTATTTTTCATATATGCATACAAAGTTGATGTAGGATGAATATTAAAGGGGTTTTATACCTTAGTTATCCTAATTTCTCTAGACCATAGAGATTTCATATGGTTTAGGTCTTTTATTTATGTGGTATATGAAATTTTACTAAATTACTCATTGGAAAATTATAAGTGATACCCTGGTACCAGTAAAATAAATTTAGGATGCATTATTATAAATGGTTAATGTGATTAGATATTTTAAGCAACACCAAAGAGGTTAAACTTTATTACAAATAACATTTATTGGATAATTCAATTTTTTCGTAGGGGTTAAACCCACAGATTTCAAACATTTTTTAGAAAATATGGAATTTTTTTTATTTTTCATATATGCAAACAAAGTTGATGTAGGATGAATATTAAAGGGGTTTTATACCTTTGTTATCCTAATTTCTCTAGACCATAGAGATTTTATATGGTTTAGGTCTTTTATTTATGTGGTATATGAAATTTTATTAAATTACTCATTGGAAAATTATAACTGATGCCCAAGTACAACGAAAATAAATTTAGGATACATTAGTATAAATTTTTAATGTGGTTAGATATTTTAAGCCACACTAAAGAGGTTAAACTTTATTAAAAATAACATTTATCGGAAAATTCGATTTTTTTGTAGGGGGTTAGGTTAACCCACAAATTTCAAACTTTTTTTTAGAAAATATGGAATTTTTCATTTTTCATATGTGCATGCAACACTGACATAGGATGAATATTAAAGGGGTTGTATACCTTAGTTATCCTAATTTCTCTAGAATATAGAGATTTCAGATGGTTTAGGTCTTTATTTATGTGGTATATGAAGTTTTATTAAATTACTCATTGGAAAATTATAACTGATGCCCAGGTACCACGAAAATAAACTTAGGATTCATTAGTATAAATGTTTAATGTGGTTAGATATTTTAAGAAACACTAAAGAGGTTAAACTTTATTACAAATAATATTTCTCGGAAAATTTGATTTTTTCGTAGGGGTTAACCCACAGATTTCAAAAAAAAATTAGAAAATATGGAATTTTTTTATTTTTCATATATGCATACAAAGTTGATGTAGGATGAATATTAAGGGGGTTTATACCTTAGTTATCCTAATTTCTCTAGACCATATAGATTTCATATGGTTTAGGTATTTTATTTATGTGGTATATGAAGTTTTACTAAATTACTCATTGGAAAATTATAAGTGATGCCCTGGTACAGCTAAAATAAATTTACGATGCATTATTATAAATTTTTAATGTGATTAGATATTTTAAGCAACACCAAAGAGGTTAAACTTTATTACAAATAATATTTATTGGATATTTCGATTTTTTCGTAGGGGTTAACCCACAGATTTCAAACATTTTTTAGAAAATATGGAATTTTTTTTATTTTTCATATATGAAAACAAAGTTGATGTAGGATGAATATTAAAGGGTTTTTATACCTTAGTTATCCTAATTTCTCTAGACCATTGAGATTTCATATGGTTTAGGTCTTTTATTTATGTGGTATATGAAGTTTTATTAAATTATTCATTGGAAAATTATAACTGATGCCCAAGTACAACGAAAATAAATTTAGGATACATTAGTATAAATTTTTAATGTGGTTATATATTTTAAGCCACACTAAAGAGGTTAAACTTTATTACAAATATCATTTATTGGAAAATTCGATTTTTTCGTAGGGGATTAGGTTAACCCACAAATTTCAAAAAAAAATTAGAAAATATGGAATTTTTCATTTTTCATGTGCATCGAACACTGACGTAGTTGTCCTAATTTCTCTCAATATTAAATTTTTAATGTGGATACATATTTTAAACAACTTAGTTGTCGCATAATCTTCAAATAATCCACTTAATCGCAAGATATTTTATAATTAAATTTAAAAATTGAAACTTGTAATATAAAGATATAATAAATAAGTGAATGATTCTATGCAAAACACTTAGTTGTCGCACAGCAATCTATTGAACATTGATAGAAAGTTTTAGTCTTTTAGATATTATCAAACATCAATTATACTGTCGGCAAAGGAAACACCTATCAGATTCATATGCATACATTCATGTACCAGTTAATTGTAATTGGGACAGCACATAAGTTACCTGGTGGTAATTAGGTGTTCATTATGTATCATGGTGATCAAATGTATTTATGCTAAAGATATTTGATAATTTACTTATAAGATAATATCTTATTTCTTTCCTTCTTGGTCAAAACTAAACGCGTAAATTGCATTTCCTCTGAATTTGCTTAATTTGTCTCAGCCTTTGTCTCATTGTCAGTATATATAAGTAATGGTAAGATGCTTTGGCCAGAGACATCAGAGCATGATCAACGCATCAATTTTTAGTGAGGTGCTTATTTTTTTAATTTTCTTTTTTTTTCTAATTTTTGTCTTATTTAAAAAAAAAAATTATAAGAGAACGAATCGAAGGCCGCCACGTGTTGGTGGGGCCCGCGCACAGTACAAGCATCACACGAAAAGGGACGCTTCATTTGGTACCAGAAGCACCAGATTTTGTGTTTTGTATGGATCCCCTCCTCTAAAATCTCTCCTAACCACTCCTTTTCTCCCATTAATCCTGCTCTCATCACTGACGATTTCATATTTACTTACGCGTTTCTCAAATCAACAGGTTACGCACATATCATTTTTCTTAAGTTTTCTTTCATTTCACTCAAGAACTTTTGTTAACTTTTTGGGAACTTACAATACTATGACGATGATCACTATGCTACTGCCATATGATGTTCTAGTAATGAAACTATCAGTGTATCAATATTATATGTTCTAAGCATGTAACTAATCTTTGCAATGTTCCTTCAAATCATATTTACAGGTAAAAACAATGTTGCTTCTAGTTCTGGTTGTCGGTTTAATATGCTATCATGTCTACAAATCCATCAAACCGCCACCACCAATTCCGCTGCCGGAGAATGTTTCTGAGATATGTCCAAGAGTTAAGCTCAATGATGGGAGATATTTAGCCTACAGAGAATTAGGGTTTCCAAAAGACAAAGCCAAAAATAAAATAATCATCATTCATGGTTATGGAAGTTCAAAGTTAGTGGATTTAAAAATCACACAGGTATTTTCTTAATACTATAAATTGGTGATTACATAGTCAAATAAGGAGATCATGATGATATAAGTGTATTTTTGATGATTTTCTTATATCAAAATACAATTCTCATATGGCTTATAGGAAATGATTGATGAGTTCGAGATATACTTCTTGATCTTCGATAGAGCTGGTTATGGAGAAAGCGATGCCCATCCATCACGAACAGTAAAAACAGATACATATGATATCGAAGAACTCGCTGACAAATTGCAAATCGGTCCAAAGTTCCATGTCTTAGGAATGTCAATCGGGGCTTATCCAGTTTACGGCTGTCTCAAATACATTCCTCATAGGTATGTATATCATCAATATCTTAAAAGTAATATCTAAATCAAAATTTTAACTACCGTTTATCTTTGACATATGTGGGTTTACACTTTACATAAACACTATATATCGACTCTAATTATATGACATGACTAGAATAGGTTGCATTTATAAACTTAAACATTGTATATTTTATATTAATGTGAATTTCTCTAACAATAGATTAAGTGGAGCAACGTTGGTGGTTCCGTTACTGAATTTTTGGTGGAGTCGTATGCCTCAAAACCTATTGAGTGCAGCGCTCAAGAAATTACCAGTTGAGAACCAATGGACATTTCGAGTTGCACACTACTTTCCTTGGTTACTATATTGGTGGTTGACGCAGAAATGGTTTTCACCGTTTAGTCAGAATCCTAAAGAAACTATGACCGACCGCGACATAGAACTCGCGGACAAGCACACAAAACACTCTTATATTAAGGTAACCATGCTTACAACTACACACTGATTACTAAATTATATTATAATTATATTATATTATGTGTATCAGGAATCTGCTTTAAGACAAGGCGAATATGTGAGCATGCAACGAGATATCATTGCGTCTTTTGAGAATTGGGAGTTTGATCCAACCGAATTGCTCAATCCGTTTTCAGATGGTAACGAAGGGTCGGTTCACATGTGGTGTGCACTCGAAGACAAGCAGATTTTGCGTGAGGCTTTACTCTATATATGTGATAAGCTGCCATGGATAAAACTTCATCAAGTCCCTGAAGCTGGACATCTTATTATCCATGAGAAACGTCACTTCGAAGCCATTATCAAAGCCGCTTGTACTGAATGAAGAATATGAAAAGAAAATAATAAAACTGGACAATGTTGGTATGTTATAAAAAAATTAATCCTAAAGTTCATGTATGTTTATGCGATTCGATCATATATTAATATGAGAAAATGACTATAATAGACCTAAAAAAGTTTTTATCACAGATATGGATTTTAACAATTAAAATGACCAAAATAGCACTTAAATGTTTTATTAAATATACATTTATATTTTTGGGTTAACTAATCCTAGATTTTTTTTGTTTAGAGTTAAGGAGTGTGATTTTGGGGATAGGGTTTCGAATTTAAAAAAATTAAAATTTTCAAAATAAAAAAAACTATTTTGATTATTTTAATTTTTGAGATCTATTTTGTGATAAAAACTTAAAAAGAGAGTTATTTGAGAGAAACGCCCTATTAATATTTAATTAATATATAAAAATAAAAAGGGTTTTGTTCTGACACAACTTGAAAGATCTAGTTGACTCGATAAACTGTTAACTTCAAACATATGTCCACATCTGGATGTGATTTGAACTTAATTTTCTTTCGATTGAGGGTAATATAGTCATTTAAACAAACCGACAAACCGGTTAAAAGCAAAACATTTCCCACTAAAAGAGTAAAGACAAGACCAAAACTAATCACACTTCGCACTTTCTCCTCTCAACACACTCCCCGGAGATGCAACTGTCTCTCCTCCCCCTTCTCCTCCTCGTCGCACTATCTCCTCCGGCGACTTCTCACTACTCATCCTCATCCTCAACCTCATCTCCTTCTTCTTCCTCCGTCTCAGAATGGCGACCCGCTCGAGCCACCTACTACGCGGCCACGAATCCTAGAGACGAGGTGGGAGGAGCGTGTGGATACGGAGATCTAGTCAAATCTGGATACGGTATGGCTACGGTTGGTCTGAGCGAGACTCTGTTTGAGCGTGGTCAGATCTGTGGTGCTTGCTTTGAGCTCAGATGTGTTGATGATCTACGCTGGTGTATCCCTGGAACTTCGATTATTGTCACGGCTACGAACTTTTGTGCTCCTAATTACGGGTTTGAACCCGATGGTGGTGGTCACTGTAACCCTCCGAATAAACATTTCGTTTTGCCGATTGAAGCGTTTGGGAAGATCGCTATTTGGAAAGCTGGGAACATGCCCGTGCAGTATCGTAGGTGCGTTTTCCTCGAACTACTAACTTTATTCGCGTTTCTTTAGATATGCGTTTGCGGTAGTGGGAACGCGGTTCTGTCTGTTTGGCCTATTTTTTTAATTTGAATTTTTAAACGATTTATTCAAGCGATGATGAGATGCTTTTGCTTTTTTTCTCCGTTGTCTTCGATGTCTCTATGCTTTATATGAGCTGAGTTTGCCCTACATGCTGTCTTGAACTAGCGAAATTACTGTATTATCCCTGACATTTGATCGTTTCTACTTAATTAAAGAGAGGAGATTAGTGTGTAACAACTAACAAGATTGAACTATGGTATAGAAATGTGGTTTGGATTAATAGCGTATTGTAGTATTTGCTGATAATGTGTTGTGTATAGGAAGATTCGTTTATGGAAGGTAGGAGTGTTCTAAAAATCGGTCTAAGCGAAACAATTTCTCTTGAAAGACTTTTAAAAAAATTGTTATAGGTCTAAACGCATGCCAAAGCAATAATCGCCTATGCCTAGACACAGCCTATTGATTTCTTGAACACTGATATTAGCAATGAGAGGAAGAAGAATGTTTTGTGAATTGTTTTGTGACTTACAAGAGTGTACAGATCATATAACCATTGTTGCTGTTTTTTTGCCAAAACAGGATAAACTGTAGAAGGGAAGGGAGCATTAGGTTTACAGTAGATGGTGGAGGCATTTTCATTTCGGTTCTGATCACCAATGTTGCTGGTTCCGGGGATATAACTGCTGTGAAGATCAAAGGGTCAAGAACAGGGTGGTTACCAATGGGTCGTAACTGGGGACAGAACTGGCATATCAACGCTGATCTCAAAAACCAAGCTCTCTCGTTTGAAGTAACTGCTAGTGACAAATCAACCGTGACAGCTTACAACGTCGCTCCTAGAAACTGGGATTACGGACAAACCTTTGAAGGCAAACAATTCGAGACTCCGTAAGACACAGAGATGTCTCGTGAATTTTTTTGTTACTGGTGAGAATTTTTTGATGGCAAGTATATGTAATCTTAATCACACACAAACATCATTACTGTAATCTATTTTGTTTACATTACCAAGGAGCAAAAGCTTCCTCTCATATGCTTAAAGCCAATGGTTACCAAAACCATGAAAAGAATGTATTACATAACTTCAAAGTCGAAAGATATTAAAACCTATAACCAAGAATGTAAAGTTTACTTAGATCATTTAAACCAAAAGGATCATCGTGTGTTGTAAAAAAAACTCCTATGAACATCCCATTTCTCATTAAAACCTCTACTCCAAACATTTAAAAAAGGAAAGAAAAAAAAAAAAAAAACCTGTATCATCATCACAGACCTCTCATAAAGTTTGATGAGATTCAATAAGCAAAGCGTTGAGCATAACATGAACAGCAGCATCATACACCGCAGAGTCATAATGCATCCCATCAAGTGTACACTGCGGTCCACAGTTCCAAGTAAAAGACTGAACATCAAGCAAAATAAGCGGCCCACCCATCTGACGCAAGATCTTACTCTCCCCTAACGATCTATCATACTCATGCCACACAGTATCACTCATCTTCTCCTTCTTCTCATCACTATTCAACATCCCATTAATCAAAACCGGCATCCCTATCCAAAACATATGCGTAGATCTACTAACTGCTCCTTCTTGCCCCTTTAAGGGCACTAGAGACTCAACATGACTCCTCAACTCCTTCAACTGAAACCCAAAATCAGAAGCATTGTTGACATGAAGCATATGCCATAACCCACTCCCCATAATCACAACGTCCGGAAACTTGTTCCTCTTCTTATACGACACAACGAGATCATCAAGATCTTTCTCATAAGGAGCCCACACAAAGTCCAACTTCATCCCAATCTCCTTAACCACAACACTGTAATCACTATGCCTCTTAAACAACTCCTCTCTAACCAAACCCATATCTTCAGAACCCGAACCAAACACGAGACTCAACAAAGACAAGGCCACAAACCTCGCCTGGGAGTCCCCAGCAACAACAACCCAAGACCCATTCAACAACTCAGAGACATCCAACTTATCCAACTTCTGAAACTCACATCCCAAAACTTTCCTAGATTTCACCCAATCCCAATTCTTCTCAAAGTTATCAACCTTCGAACCGTTTGTGTTCCCACGGTTCTGTCTCGGCTTAACATCCCAGACGATCTGGTTCACCTCGTTGATGCACGAGACACGGTGATCGTAGACGACGACGGAGGAGACGGAGGCAACGATGTCGGAGACGGAAGGGAAGTAAGGAGTGAGGTGGACGCAGACGGCGAGGGAGATGAAAAGAGCGCCGCTGAAGAAGAGCATCTTGTGTCTGCTTAGGTGCCAACCAGCCATAGCCATGGGGACGAAGAGGACGAAACAAGCTGCTAATACTCCGAAATGGATCGCTCCTAGCATCTGTCTTCGATCGGAGGTTTCAGACACATCTAAAGATCAGATCTTTTAATCAAAAGCAAACGAATCTTCATATAGATTTTTTATTTGTTCTTGTGTAATTGAAAAGGTAGGGATACGAGTTTGGTTTGGTGGAGAGATTCAATCGAGATTGTAAATAGAATTGAAGGCAAAGATGAAAGCTTGGTGGAATTGGAAAGGAACAGAACAACCGTAGGTTTCTTCTTTCTTTCTTTCGATTTTTTTCTTTTTGTTTTTGCTTTTAACTTTCCATTTTTGTAAGATCTCCGACATTGTTCGGTTCATCTTAGCCCTTAGTTTGAAAATAATTCTAACGTGCGCACTGCGCTTGATATCACGTGATCGCTTTTATAAATTTGTGATATGACAGTAGAGCCCCTGAGCCTAATTAGTATTATGATCCCTTAAGCTTTAAGGCCCTTTGTGCTAGCCCAAAAGGTTTTTGGACCTGTATTTAGTCGATTTGTACATTGCAATCTGTTTTGTAAGCTAATAAAAGTCCTACAATTTAAGCAAAATTGTTGAGAAATTGTTGGCTCATGTGGATAAGTGCATTTGCACTGTAACCTAGGACCGACGTTGGGCAAAGCCGGATGAAACATTGGCCTTGGCTCCCAAAATATTTTGAAAAAATTTACATGTATACCAGTTCCCCCCAAAAAAAAAATTAGACCTTTAAATCTGTAAAGAAAAATTTAGGTGAAATCGTTCAAAAATCACCTTAGATCCCATAATTCTCAGAGCTGATTCCTGTGTAACCATAGGTTTAAAAGTCGACCTGATTATCAATAAATTTAAGAACGTTATATACGTTAAATCAACAACGTTAGCATGTACATTCATACAAAGAAATGAGAATCAGACACATTCAGATTTAGAAGTATAGTGTTTTGCAGGTACTTGAACTTTGGATATCGAGAATTCTCCTACACCATGTATACACCAATTAAGGCACTTACGCTGGCTTTATGTTTGTTTCTTTATCTTACAAATATACACAATTAATATATTTCCTCAATACCTTTTAATATCACTTCTCGTTCTATAAGTCCGAGATACTGTATCTCGTAAATCTCATAATAGTTTCAGTTCATTTTACGTTATTTCATTTTTTATTTCCTCGTATTGTGTTATACAATCTATTTATGTATGCATTAGTATATAGTATACACCCTATCTCAATAGAAGGCTAATCAGTGAACTAATCTATAAGATAATATAGTTTTGTAGAGATGTGTATGAACGCCATGAAGAAAGAAGTAAAGAACCTAAAGATGGATTCATGTGAGGGAAATGTGTCAAGAGGGGGTATGTACACATTGTATTTTTATATATGTAGATACATGTGTATCATATATGTACATAGAAAGAGAATATGGAATTGGAATAAGGAGAGAAAAAGGTTATGACGATGATGAGGAAGGCTGAGAAGTGATTCTCCATGGTTGGCCCATCAATAGCTTCCAAGGATTTTTTCACATGTTCACAACTGGTCCCACATGATCATATTTCATACATGCTTTTTGGTCTACTTCGTTTCTTATTTTAGTATAAGTCGGATCTCATCATATGTCGAATCTGATTAATTATGATTTCGTAATTGCAGGTACCAAAACGTGAATATTTTCATATGAATTTATTATATCAAATCAAATTATAATTGGTGAATCAACCAATAAAATTTAAACTTCTAACTTTTAGTGCGAGCCATTAATGATTATGATGTATATATGAAGCTGGTGAACTAATTATATAATGAGACAATGAAAAAGGAGAACTCAAATAAATTGGAAACACCCTAGTTTTAAAGGATGGTCTACGAGAACTCAAAGATCGGTGGCAACTAGAAGGGGAAAAAGAGTCGCAAGTGGGTACAAAAGAGACAGTTATTTCAGTTATAAGTGCCGCCAAAGACCTAAAGAGAAAAGAGAGTTGCAGCAGTTTTGGGGTAACCTAAATATTCGATCGCCCATGCAACCAATAGTGTTTTCACACGTGTAACTATATTCCAAACCGACAAAACTTGGAGAAGAATGGGATAATTGAGGAGGCCACTTGATGAAGGAAACACGGTTTAGGGCGTCGATTCTCGATTGATTAGTACGGTTTACTAATGAATAGCTTCCTGATTTTTTAATATTACGCGTTTGATAGGGTTTTGTTACATACATTATTCATCATTTTATTTTTTGATGAAAGGCTTTACATTATTCATCATTTTACTGTCTTGTTCAAATATAGTGTCAGTAAATCTATTAAACTTCCAAAATATATGAACACACAACGAATACATGTTACAAGAAATTGTGTTCTTATTGAATATTAATGTATGTATGTGAACAAAAAGCTCAGAACTTAGAACCTTTTGTTGTGCATATATATAATAGAAAACTTAGAGTTAGCACATTATTTCTGTGTTAGGCAAAATAATAATAAATTTTCTAAAATTTTAAATATTCAAATAATTCTTAATAATATATGTTGCTTTGGGATAGGGACCTTCCCTTTATTCACTTTTTCATTTCTTATGTTGTTTCCCCCTCTATATATATAACCTTCATTTCCTAGCCCTACAAAACATTCAGTTCTCTTACAACTTCTTTGTGTCCCGTTTTGATTCTCTCCCTCTCCCTCTTTTTCTTGAAGCTGATCCAAGCAAAATAATCCCGAGAATAACTTGAAAAGTTATATGGCTCCTGTCGCGTTACCTCCAGGTTTCAGATTTCATCCAACCGATGAGGAGCTGATTACCTACTATCTCAAAAGAAAAATTAACGGTCTAGAAATCGAACTTGAGGTTATCGCTGAAGTTGATCTCTACAAGTGCGAGCCATGGGACTTACCAGGTAATATTTGTATTTTTCTCTGTGTATGTACTATTATTTTTGAAATTGTACAAATTTTATTTTGACTACTCCCTCCGTTTGAGTTTAATTGTCATTCTACATTTTTGCACACAGATTAAGGAAACATTTAATTTTACATATTTTCAAGATAAAAACACAATTACCTATACAGCTAACCACTTTTCAACCAATAGAAAATAGAATATTATATAAACTAATAATTTTGCCTTGAAACTCTAAAACGACATTTAATCTGTGACAAAAAATTAGTTCTAGAATGACAACTATTCTGAAACGGAGAGAGTATTATTTTTTAAATGGGACAAATCTTATTTAGATTAAGTTCACAACCTTTGTAATTAAGAATCATTATTTTCTGTCTATAACCAATGGAAACAAGAGAGGTTGAAGAAAAGAATAAGAATATAACAATGATGAAGAAACCCTATATATGCTTTAATTTCGGCCGGAGAATAGTGCATGTATGTTCTTTGCATAATTACAATATTAATTTGTTAAGATTTCAGGTAGGTAAATGTTTAATTTTGAGTTTCAACAGGAAATAGTGCTCGTAAACATTAGTTTCTAAGAGAACCTTTTTTTTCATTCGTTACTATTTCAACTAAACGTTTATTATTAAAGTTTTGACTGTAAACATGCCATTAATTAAATTGAGTTATTCTTGAATTTTGGATTAATTATGTCTTGGATGATAGGGAAGTCCTTGCTTCCAAGCAAAGACCAAGAATGGTACTTCTTCAGCCCACGGGACCGGAAGTATCCCAACGGTTCGAGGACAAACCGTGCAACCAAAGGCGGATATTGGAAGGCCACGGGTAAAGACCGCCGGGTTAGCTGGAGAGACCGAGCCATTGGAACCAAAAAGACATTGGTTTACTACCGTGGACGTGCACCACATGGTATTAGAACCGGTTGGGTCATGCATGAATATCGACTCGATGAAAATGAATGCGAGCCTAGTGCATACGGCATGCAGGTTTGTCGTGTCGGCTAGCTAATTGATTCAACTTTTATCATCTTTTATCGTATATATAATAGTATTAGAGAATATAGCCTAATTTATTTGTTTTTTCTATTTTATCAGGACGCCTATGCACTTTGTCGTGTGTTTAAAAAGATTGTGATTGAAGCTAAACCAAGAGAGCAGCATCGGTCTTACATCCACGCTATGTCGAATGTGAGTGGCAATTCAAATTTTGAGGCTTGTTCGGATCTAGAGATCAGTTCAACTACTCATCAAGTTCAAAACGCATTCCAACCTCAATTTTTCACATCAAATGCTAGTAACGAAAACTGGTCACAATACTATGGTTCTTCTTATCCACCGTTCTCTACTGCATATAAGGTATAACTAATATCTCAAACTTTTATAAATCCATCAACCTATTAATATAAACCGATCAAAAGTATATAACAATTATTAATGGATTTAAATGGCATTTTTGTATGTTCATGTAGGTTAATAATGAGATCGAATGCTCACTGTTACAACACAATATATCTCTACCACCGTTGCGTGTGGAGAACTCTGCGGTCATCGATTACGACTTCTATAATACGAGTATGACTCACAACAACAATCTTGGCGTCTTGGAGGACTTTACTTTCGCTACAAGTAAATCCAACCATTATAATAATACCGTTGGTGATCAAGTGATCGACGTAGGCGGTTATAATGAATCATTAATAATGCCAAATCATCATATGAACCAGGTATTATATGTATCAAAATACTCAAACAATAGTTTACGCTAGAAATATCTATATATATATTCAACCTTACAAAAACTATCTTTTGCATGAATATTGAAAAGGGATATATTGAAGAACAGAAGATCATATCGACTTTAGATGATAATAACCAAGATCTTGGATTTCATGGTAAGTATGATCAATGTTCTAAAAATCGCGCTTTATAAAAGATTTTTGTTTATGCGGGTGATTAGACCGATTTCTTGAACGTCTAGATCATTTTTTTAAGAAAAAAAATGGTTTAGAATAATCGTTTTGCTCATATTTGATTTGCTGACTAGGCAGCGTCCGCCTAGACTGATTTTTAGAATATTGAGTATGATATATAATTTTGTTTCGCATTCAAGATTGTTTAGGTGTTTTTCTTTGTGAATGATAACTACAACTCGTTTAATTTACAGGAGACAATACCAATATCAACATAGATATCGATGACTTCTTCTCATTTGATATGTATAACGAGGAAAACGTAGATCGAGTCGAAGGTAACGAAGAAGACGTGAATACAAATGAAGCCGTAGATTCATCTGGATTTGAGGTGGTTGAAGAAGAAATTAGGGTTAACAACCAAATGCTTATCTCGACATATCAAACAACGAAGATTCTATATCATCAAGTCGTACCATCTCACACGTTGAAAGTTCACATCAATCCTATTAATCACAATGTGGAAGAGAGAACATTGTTCATTGAAGAGGATAACGATTCTTGGTTACAAAGAGCTGAGAAGTACACAAAGACAAAACTAACTCTTGTTAATTTAATGTCTCAGCAATATTACAAATATCTTGCGATTTTTTTCTAATTTCTTAAAATTGATTGATTCATATACGCCTAAAAGAGAGAGAGCGTTTATATATAATGTACTAACATATACATGTACACATCTCATTCTTTCTATTTATTAATTGGAATTACATTGTAGTATAATATATAGTAAGAGCATCTTTAACCCACAAACTCTAAAAAGGGTGTTTATTTTTTATTTAATTTTTTGTACAAAAATTAAATCAATTGCGAACTGTCACTTATTGCGAATTGATAAACATTCCCCTTTTAGTTCTCCCGCTAATGCTGTTCTAAAATTTAAAATTCGACAACTTAAGTGAATACATGTAAGAGCATCTTTATTCCAGCACCCCATTAGGGAGTGCTTAAAGTTTTTTTATTCAGATTTAAAAAATAAAAATAAAAAATGACCAATCGCATACCACTACGTGTCGTAGAGCCCGCGAAACAGACCAAGCAATCACGAAAATCTGATGCTTAAATAAGCAAAAGAAACGCTGGTTACTTCATTTTAAGTGGAACCCACCTATTATTAAACTAATTTTCTTAAACCCCCCCCCCTCCTAAGTTACCTTGTTAAACGATCATAACATCTAATCGAGTACTAATGGATATGAGCTTAAAATTTCAAAATAAATCCTTATTTATTTTCTTCTTCAGAAGTTGGTCATATAAAGACAATAATAACACATGACATTTAACTTTATTTGGGGGAGAAGACAGAAAGTATTAAAACTTATTTTGTCCAATACCACATCATCATTAGCCATTACCAACAATGACACTAGAACTCGTTTAATATGCAGCCATTTCCATAAGTTTCTTCCAAGCCGGTCTAGCCGAAATCTCATTCCACCACCGGTTAACATTCTCCCTAGACGTAACCATGCCTCCCAAACCGGCTTCGTTCATTATATACCTCATACCAGGCATATGGGTTAAATCAGCCAATGTGAATTCAGCACCGGCCAAGTACCGGTTCGTAGCTAACTGGTTCTCATATACATCCAGGATCTTCTCGAACTTGGTCTTTAGCTCCTCCACCAAAGCAACGTCGAAATTGGGTGTAAACACGATGTTTATTACTAAAGGTAGAACCACAACGTTGAAGTAGTTAGCCTCAACTTCCATCCACTGTTCCACGATGGCTCGTTGCTCCAAGGTCTTTCCCAATAGGTCCGTTCCTTGGTCTGCATACTTGGTCGCGTAGTATCTCGATATGGCCCGTGATTCTTGAAACAAATATTCAACATGTATAATGTATTTATTTTTCAAGAAAATTCTGACTTAGTCAAGAAATTAATATCTCTGCATTAATTAAGTTTAATTAAAAATTTGGAGTAATTATTTTACCAAAAAGCTTCAGATCTCCATCTTCAATAGCTGGAACTTGACCAAAAGGCTAACACGAGTATACAAGTTGTATATTATAAATACATTCTACAAGTTCGCAAAAGAATTTGCGCACATAGGCTACATAATCAATTTGATTTCTCTGATAATAATTATAGAATTTACCTGACGAAGAAGATATTCTGGTTTTTTCTGCTCAAGTTTATTGAGATCGACATGGATAACTTCAAACTCGATGCCTTTTTCAAGAAAACAGAGTAATACTCTTTGTGGATTACCTGCCTTTATCTGCCCAAATAGTTTGACCACCATAATTCTGATTATACAGAAACTCTATTGGTAACTTCTGATATGATTTGTAGAACCAATTTGGTTAGATAAGAGTATATTTCAAAGTAAGCAGTGGTCGATCTTATCTCTTTTTTTTTCTTTCAAAATCTACTGGACCCTTGAGTAGGTGAGAATGCAACGTGCTTTTTCCTTAAAATTCTTGTTTCTCTAATGTTTTTTTTTTGTTGTTCACTAAAATAGGAATAATATCTACAGAATAATTGAGAATCTCTTGCATATATTGTACTTAAGCGTAGGCTTGAGTTAATTTAAATTAAACTGAAAATTACAAAACGATTAAAGGAGCAACATACTTAAACTTTTACACAATTCCCAAACGAAACCCGGTTCCGTTCCGGTTTAGAGAAAGAAAAAAAAAGAAGCTAAAGAACTTTTTTGGTTTAGGTTCGAGTGAGCAAAGCCGATATATGAGCAGCCGAGAGCGTCTGGGCTCTACCGGAAAGTCGCGGCGGCCTACCGTTTCCGGAGTGGAAAGCGTCGACGTGTCCACCTAAGTTTTGCTCCGATGCACCTCCACATCCGGAGAGCCGTCGACAGTGAGAGTTCTCCCGTCGCTGCTTCAGTTTAACGTTGAGAGGATTCTCGGGTTTTTCGAGATCCTCTACTGTTAACGCTGCCGACAAGGACGTGAATGACTGTGATTTACCTTTGTAATGTTTTGACAACCCTCTCCTGTTGTGAAAAACAACAAGGCTTTTAAGAAAGGACCCTAAATGTTACCTTCGAAAAAAAAACGAAAAGATTCTTATTACCTTAAAGAAGATGAACTGCGACGGTCTGAATCGTCAGGAGAGTTTGGAAAAGAAGAGGGAGAGTTAAAACCTTCATCTACGTCTGCATCTGCGTCCTTTACGCAATTTCCACGTCTGTGTTCTTTATTAGCAAGCCCATTTCAGAAGAGCTCAAGTCGCACCAAGCCCAGCAAACCAAGCCCACTTCAACTCAGAACTTGCCATGTCAGCAATCTCCCTCAACGGATATATGGTTCAACGACACAAACAGAGCAAGAGAGGAAAAGAGACAAGGAAAGCAGATCATGACATCACCAAGTGGTCCTGCGTTGTACAACTCCTTCTCAGCCCTTGGATCACTAGGAGAAGAAGGATGATGACAACTGTATAGTTTCTAGGGCTTTCCTATTTCTCTATTTAAGCAAATTCCTACTCATTGTAAAACCTTAAGAATCAAGAAATACAAAACTGCAGTTTATTATCTTCTTTCTTCAAGCTTCTATGGTATCAGAGCCATGGAAGCTCTTGAACTTTACACACCTCCTTCTCTAAAAATAGTGAACTCAGTCACTGTTAAACTCACTGAGAGAAATTACTTGTTATGGAAGAATCAATTTGAAGCCTTTCTTAATGGCCAGCGACTGTTAGGGTTTGTCACCGGAGCTACACCGCGACCTCCGGCGACCCTTCCTGTGCCAGGTATCAACGGCACGACGACGTCAGTCACAAATCCTGACCATCACACCTGGTTTCAAACAGATCAGGTTATCAAGTCTTGGCTGTTAGGTTCATTTTCGGAGGATATCCAAAGCTTGGTGGTTTCCTGTGAAACCTCTCAAGAGATCTGGTTTGCGTTGGCTCAACACTACAACCGTCCAACCTCGTCGAGATTGTTTGAACTCCAGCGAAAGCTTCAGACAGTAACCAAACAACAAAGACCCATGTCGGAATATCTCACTGAGATCAAACACATCTGCGACCAACTTACCTCTATTGGAAGTCCAGTCTCGGAAAGGATGAAAATTTTTGCAGCTCTTCAAGGTCTGGGACAACAATACGAGCCACTCATAACCAGTATCGAAGGATCTGTAGACATGATGGAAGATCCCACTTTGGATGACTTGATTCCACGGCTTCAAAGTTATGATACTCGCATTCAAAGGTACAACACTCCATCCGATGTATCTCCACATCTCGCCTTTAATGCTCAGAGATCCTACTACAACACAAGAGGCAGAGGTCAGTCAAACAGAAGATTCGGTGCCAACAGAGGCAGAGGGTCTTTCTCTACAAGAGGCAGAGGGTTTCACCAGCAGCTGTCATCTTCAGGGACTCGTTCTGTCTCATCTGCATCGTCTGTGTCTTCAGATGATAGGCCTTCTTGTCAGATATGTGGAAGATTTGGACACACGGCACTGAGATGTTGGCATAGATTCAACAATACTTATCAAGAAGAAGACTTACCGGCTGCTTTAGCAGCTATGAGGGTCACAGACGTCTCTGATAGTGGTGGAGCAGAATGGTTTGCTGACTCAGGAGCCACCTCTCACATAACAAACTCTCCTCAACATCTCGCATACACTCAGCCGTATCAAGGTAATGATGCTGTTCTCGTAGGAGATGGAAATTTTCTGCCCATAACTCATGTTGGCTCTGCAGATATAGCATCAACCTCAGGTACATCACTTCCTCTTAGAGATGTTCTAGTGTGTCCAGGGATAACAAAGTCACTTTTATCAGTGTCTAAACTTACCAATGATTATCCTTGTTCATTTGAATTTGACTCTAACCGCGTGTATGTTAAGGACAAGCAAACTCAAAGCCTGTTGAAACGCGGAGACATCCATGAGGGTCTATACAGTCTCAAGCCTCCAAAGCCTCGAGTCTACTATTCAACAAGGCAGATAGCAGCAAGTGATGAAGTGTGGCATAGGAGGTTGGGACATCCTCAAGATCAAACTCTTAAGTACCTGAGTCAGAACAAGTTTATTTTGGTTAATAAAAGCTCTTTGCGGATGTGTGAGTCATGTCAACTAGGGAAGAGTTGTAGGTTACCGTTTGTTGCGTCTTCTTTTGTAGCGTCTCGACCTCTAGAGAGAGTCCATTGTGATCTCTGGGGTCCCTCTCCTGTTACATCTAATCAAGGATTCCGGTTTTATGTTATATTCATAGACAACTATTCTCGTTTTTGCTGGCTATATCCTCTAAAGACCAAGTCAGACTTCTACAACATATTCGTTGGGTTTCAGAAATTGGTAGAGAATCAGTTGTCCCAAAAGATTGGAATCTTTCAATGTGATGGAGGTGGTGAGTTCATAAGCAACAAGTTTATCTCTCATCTTAAAGAATGTGGGATTCAGCAGTTCATTTCATGTCCACATACACCGCAACAAAACGGATTAGCCGAAAGAAAACACAGACATATTACAGAAGTGGGGTTGACAATGATGTTTCAGAGCAAACACTACAAGAAAATAGCTCTATTGCAACAATGATATATTGTTGCAATATGCTCGTATATTGTTGCAAATATGAAATTGCAATAAAATTGTGACAAATTTTAACTTCTTGCTGTTTGAATGTTGCAAATTCACATTTGTTGCATAAATGTAGCAAAATTAGCAATAAATTTAAATGTTGCGGTATATGTCATATTATTGCNCACTACAAGAAAATAGCTCTATTGCAACAATGATATATTGTTGCAATATGCTCGTATATTGTTGCAAATATGAAATTGCAATAAAATTGTGACAAATTTTAACTTCTTGCTGTTTGAATGTTGCAAATTCACATTTGTTGCATAAATGTAGCAAAATTAGCAATAAATTTAAATGTTGCGGTATATGTCATATTATTGCAAGGATTTTTTCTAGCAATTTTGTTGTAAATTTACAATGTATTTTGTAACTATAAATAGTGGCAAATTATTGCTACGTATAATATATAGCAAACAACATTGCAAATTTGCAATTATTTTTTATTTAAATTTAGTAATTTTAATTCAATAGTATATATATATATAATTATTTTGGTACAATTGCAACGTATGGTTGCAATTTAAAATAGTTACAAAATTTGCTATATAAAATATATAACAAATGTTGTTGCAAATTTTTCGATAATTACTTTTAAATAATACATTTGGTGTCAATATTTTTTGATGGTGGCTACTATATGGTTAACAGTTAATATTTTAGAAAATTAGTAGATATCAACACCATGGATTAATTGTCAAATGACCAATTTTATTAGATAAACTAAAACATTTATAAAAAAATTAACAATGCATTAATAGAGAAAAACCAGTGATAATTAAAACTAGAAAAAAAAATCAACAATGCATTAATAGAGAAAAACCAGCCATAATTAAAACTAGAAAAATAACTACGAAAACCTTAGAAAAATAACAGAAACATCCAATTTAGACTTGGTTGTTGACACCCATGGATAGAATAGCTGGACAAAGGATAGCAATCATTTTCTCCAAACCTTCAAGTTTGCTCAGCCTTTCTTTGATGACTTCATTGTCTTCAGAAATGTCTTGTACCTTTTTTTTGAACTCATCATTTTCCAAGTGGCTTTCAATGGTGACTGGAACTTTACCATTGAGTGAAATTTCACTAAGAAGAGCTCCTAGACCAAACACACGCCCTTGTGTTGAATCAACCAACTGTAGAATATAATATATGTCAGACAAAAAAAATCTATGAAGAAATCTAGGAAGAAATCTAGGAAAATAAAAAGAACTATTGCATTACCTTCAAATACATTTCATTTTTTTTCTCAGAAGTAAGCTCTTCAATGGTTAGGATATCATCTTCAAGCATGTGATCAGCTACATCTTTTTCAAATCCTTCACTAATTAGCCTTGCCCTTTCATCCACAAATGACCCATCTGATTTCTTGTGTGTCTCGCGAAGAACATCAATGTAAGATGCAGCTCCGTTCTTTTCTTTCTACAAAAGAGAAATGTTAGAAAATAATATTAAAAGTGGTATATATGAAAACAAGTGTCTTACCAATATATCTGCAACCCTAGCATATGAACGTGAGCCAGCTCGGTGTTTATGAGGTCCCAACCCATTTCGATCTGACATTCGACTCTTAGAAGCTTTTTTACTTTTTTCCTTAGCTTTATCTGTGCCCCAGTAGGCAACCAAGTCTTTGTAGTAATCATCAAGGATCCAATATGGCTGCTTACCTCTTTCTTTTACTCGGCTAATCATATCGATCAGTTTAGTAGCAGCACATTTGTAAAACATCTTTCGCACCTCAGATTCAATCAAGTGATTCCAAGAGAATTTGCTCTGAAAATATATTATAAAGAAAAGTAAGATCGCTATACATAAAACTTAAGTGATATGGCATAGGCATTTCTATATGGAAACATAAAACAAGAATTTTTTATATGTAATGTTTTGTGATATACCTTAAATGTATACCACCATCGCTCTTTTACATGTTGTGGTGTAGTTGACCAGTTTCGATACGGGCCAGGAAAATCAGATCAGATGATTGTTCTTATCTCATTGGTGATTAGGGAATCACGTTTGAACCTATAAACAAAAATAAAAATATAACGCAACTAAAATTTAACATGACGTTCATATATAAAATATATATATATATATATATATGTTTCTTTATACCACAATGATCCATTCAGTTTGGAAGGATTAAGAACACCTAAGACATTCATAGGCTGCGCTGCTCCATGATTTTGACCCTCATTTGCCATCTGGAGATGTGGTTTCAAAGAACTGCAATGAAGAAGTTTAGTGGATTGTTAAAAACACCGTATAAGCTGTGCATATATATATTGAAAACAACAAAATCTAAACCTCTTGATATTAGATATATCCGTATCTTTTTAGCATAATATTCACCAAACAAACTAAATCAAGCGGCAAATGAAATATAAGGAGGGAACAACATTTGACTAAAAACAAAACTATTCTAGTAGTTACAAGCTCATTTCGTTTTAACTATTTAATAAAATTTCAAATAAAACACAAAAATATAGAACTTTAATATGAAACTAGAATAACTTACGTGTGGTTTCCATGAGAAAGTTGACTAAGCCAAGAAAATTGATAAGTTAAAGTAACAATAACAGAACCAAGAAAAGTCGAGAAATCAAGAACCTTCTCAGTAGCAAGATCCTAGGCACGAATCTGCTCAGCTGCTTATGTGAAGATTCTCTATCTTGCAGCTCTTTCTGTAGATTCTCTAGCTGCTCACCAAGTCGACTTACTTGGTCCTCTTGCTCTTTCAAGGAACCAGTCCTCACGTGCAAATGTTTGGAGAGCAATCTGCACTGAGACTGAGCTGATTCAGCCGACAAAGTACTTGCCTCTGCAGTTGCCTGTGTTGCTTCAAGCTGTGCCTTGATATCACCCAACTCCTTTACATACTACACAAAGAAAAAACAATAGAGCAGAAAAATTAATAATTTAAAGTAACAAATACAGAACCAAACAAAGTAGAAAAACTAGAAACCTTCTCAGTAGCAACATCCTCCCGAAACTCTGCTTCTTCTCACTCAAATCTTCCAACAAAGGATCATCTTCTCTTAAGCTAACAGAAGCTGCTACCATTTTCCTGGATTGAATGAAAAATCACATTAAGGAAGAAAATCTAAAATGAAATAAGTAAATGATAATTAAGAATGTGAAATCAAATCTGTCCACAATAATTAAATCCTTTTAACATACAACTTTTTTGTAACTACAGCCATTAAAAACTCTAACGAGCTATAGATAGATAGAGACAAAGACTTTTGAAATATACAGCCTAAAAAAGACAAAGACTTTTGAAAGAGAGAGTTCTTAACAGTAGCTGATGATCACTACAACAATGGAACAAAATTTAATAAAATTACAAAGTTCAAACCATTAAGTTGACACAATTAAAAAAATTCATCTATTTAGTTACCTCTGTACATGCATGGTGTCCTCATATGTAATCAGTAGAAGCCCAAGGAAGAAGAAGCGAAGAAGTACCCATCGCTTCTCTGCTGCGAAGAAGTACCCATCGCCCAAGGAAGAAGAAGCTCGGATGTGTTGTCGGTTCAGCTTCTCTGCTTCAGATTGAAGACCAGGGGGAGTCCGAGAGCACCATCCAAGCTTGAACTGATCTCCATCTGTCGTGGCTGTGAAGATCGCCTCCGTATAGCCATCACCGCTCTTTCTCTTTCTCTCTTTTTCTTTCAGGTGAATAACAAAAGAAAGATTTTTTTTTTTGAACAAGACAAAACAAATTCATAAAGTCACGGGTGAATAACAAAAGAAAGCTTATGGTCATGGGCTCACTGTGATAAGCCCAATTGTTGACCAGATTTGCAGAGCCCAATTTCTCTGAGCTTTCTCTACAACCGAACTAATATTTCTATAGCAGAATCTTTACCAACGGCCAAGGGAAAACAAAAACAAGATATACCTTGTACTTGCAAGTGAGAGGCCAGAAGGTGAGAAGTAAGCAGAGTAAACAGCCTTGGCATGATCTACAGTAGCCAACGTTTTTGGTTTCTTGGTTCCCATGGTTCTCAAGTCCCAAACGCAAGCAGTACGATCTTGAGAACTTGTAGCCATGAGATGCGTGTTCTGCGTGTTCTGCGTGTTGAAGTCAATAGTATGGATCCTGTATTTATGCAACTCCCAGCTGAAAACTGACTTCAAAGGGATCAGTAAGCTTAGAAGCAACAGATGGAATAATAATAAAAGTGATTTTGAGTAATTGTTTTGAAAATAGACAGCTTAAAACAACACTCTAATACATAAATAAAGAGAGATAGATTACTGAATTTAGAAATTAATCTGAAAATACCAAAATGGAGACAGTTTAAACAATAAAAAGAAGAATGAGATGGTAATTGTTTCGAAAAAAAACAGAGATGGTAATAATCAAGATGTCAAGGTAAGAAAACTAAAGAATAAAAACAGGATTTGTCATCTCTTGATCGTAGTTTTTACTGTCTCGTCTTGACGTCTCAGCAGTCAGAACTGTCTTCTTCTGTTGATTCAGAATCCTGAGATACTACATCATCATGTTCTGAGTCTAGCTCCTCATCAAGAACATCATGCAAGTTGACAAAAGGTTCTTGTTGGTCAGCTAAGCTATCGACTGTGATAAATGGATCAGCCACAATAACTGGATTATCACTCTCATATTGTAAAGGACTCGAATCCAATTCCTCACTACATATTATTTTTCCCCTCGGTTGTATCTTCACTGTAGCGTACCAATCACTATTCTTTTGCCTTAGACGAGGATATGGTATATAACACACCTGATCTGCTTGGCTAGCAAACACAAATGGATCATATTTTCCATATCGTCTAGATCGATTAACATCAACGTTCCCAAATTTGTTTATGCGTACACCTTTATCCATTGTTGAGTCATACCAATCACATCTGAAAAGTACAACTCTAAGACCAACTCTTCCTGGATAATACAACTCAAACATTTGTGTTATGACTCCGTAACATTCAGATCCTTCACTTGAATCAGATGTTCCTTTCACACAAACACCATAGTTGAACGTACTACGATCTTTTCCATGATCTAGTGTATGGAAGTTGTATCCTCGACAAAAATATATAGGCCAAGATGTTACTTTAGTTGCCGGTCCGTGTACCAAGTCATGTAACCATAATGAATATATAGTACGGTTAGTGTCGGCTCCAATCTGAGAATTATAATAATTATAGTAAGTACCGTACTTAATATTTGTAAATATAGCTGAATATCAGTTTAATACTTACATGTTTTTTTAAC